CAGGAGGAAAGAGTGGATGTGCAATGGCTGGTTCTATATAGTTGGTACATTACCAAGGCTTTAGGGAAGCTGGAAAATTCTTAGAATATGCATGATTTGTGACTTGTGATGTTGGAAAGAATATATGAAGGGAAAGAAAGATTGAGCCTCCTCTCCCATTTTGTGTGCGCGTGTGTTACATAGGTGTGAGTGTAATGAATGTGAGGGAGAGACTCATGTGTCCCTCCCCCCTTTCTTTTTTTCCCTCCGTGTGTCCCTTCGTTTAGAGTGTGAATCTGAGAGTATTTTTTTTTTGTTTTAAATGTCAAATTAATCACGATGAAGGGACAACATTCCAATTTTTTTTCCTAAAACATTTATGACCTAAAGATTTACGTATGCATGTTAGAAGGGTCGCACAAAATCTGGAAAAAAATCTACGCACTCACATTTTTTTCTAATTTTCAATTTTATAATTTTATACTTAATTTTTCATTTTTGACATTTTATTTTACATATTTTTTTACTTAATTTTTCATAAATTTTTGGACGAAATTGGGTTATTACAATTGTCCCTCTTTACTTGATTTTACCAAATAATATGAACAACTCATGTTTTCATATTATTGTAGTAAAATATAAGTAAAGAAAACTCTAATTTCGTTCGGGAATTAAAACAATGGCTTGAGTTATAAAAAAAGTGTGCATGAGGTTCCAAAAGGTAAAAGTTGTGGGTGTAGAGACCCAGTGTAGGAGCATTGGACGTAGAAACCCAGATTGTAAAAAGCATTGGACATAGAGACCAACATTATAAAAAATAATGGGCACGGGGACCTGAAAGTTAAAAGTTATAGATGCGAAGACCTATAATGTAAAATGCGATGGGCGTGAGGACTTAATATGTAAAATGTAATGGGCATGGAGACCTGAGATTTAAACAAAGTGAGCATATGGACTCAATATGTAAATCGCAATGGGAACGGGGACTCGTAATATAAAGAGTGAGTGCAGGGACTCAATATGTAAAATGAGTGAACACGAGGACTCAAAATGCAAAAAATATGAGTACAGGAAGTCAAGATTTGATAAATAATGGGCATGGGGACCCAATATGTAAAATGAGTGAGCATAGGGCCTCAAGATGTAAAATGCAATGGGCATGAGGATCTGTCGTGTAAAAAGTGAGTGTCGGGATTCAAAATATAAAATGCAATGGGCACGGGGACCCAATTATGTAAAAAAAAAAGTTAGCACAGGGACTTAAGATGTAAAATGTAATGGGTGTGAAGACTTGTGATGTAAAAAGCGGCGTAAGGACTTGACATATATAAAAAAGGTGAGCACGGGGACTCAAGATGTAAAATGTAGTGGGAACGGGGACCCAAAATATAACATCCAATGAGCATGGGGAACCGATATGTAAGAAAAGTGAGCACAAGGACTCAAGATATATCATGCAATGGGTGCAAAGACCTGATATGCAAGAAGCCACTACTCTTGTAAACCTTACAAGAAAATGAATCCTCCAATAATGAACTTTGCTCATAAACTCAAATAATTTTTATTAAAAATTCTTTCAAAATGTAACAATTAATAATGTTAATTAAATAACATTTTTATCTTTGACATTATTTGATTCTGAGGGTTTAATGAGTAACCTTTTGCTAGCTTAGATTCCTATAAAAAGATATATATTTTTTAAGATAAAATGCATAAAAATAAAATTTATTTTTTAATAAATATAAAATTATACGGTACTTAATAACATTACCTGAATAGTTATTCTATCTTTCATGCTATTGTAAGGGTTTAATGACTATTGACTAGTCATTTGCTAGCTTAAACTCTTATGCACAATTTTTAAATAAATTTTAAAAGTTGTCACCTTTTGATAAAATATTAATATATACATATACATACATACATACATACATACATACATATATATATATATACACACACACACACCAATAATGCTAATTGAGTAGCACTTCTATCTTTAACGTTATTGTGGAAATTTAATGATTAGCCATTTGTTAACTTAAATCCCCACGCTTTTTCAAAAAATAAAAAAAAATTAAAGGATCAAAAAATATTTCTTAGGCGTAATTGACTTCCAAGTCCAACTCTGGTTTCAAAGACTATATTTTCTAGATTGTTTTCCAATATTTTTCCCTTCAAAATAAATTATTGGTGGTGACTTCATTTAAAAAATGATTTTTGCATCAGCCCCATCGTGATTTCGATTACGACACAACCTAATCGTTTTCACGCCCGAAGTGTCCACTAGATCACAACAGAATGGGATACCAATCTCTCATCTAGTTTCTTAACACTAGGAAAGTTTGGTTCCCCCATCAGGAGTAGTACAGCTGGATATAGGCTTGCCATGATGTTGGCATACATTACTAAGTCACATATGGAATTTGTTCACTGATTATCTTCAAGGAACCACACAACCTTTCCAGATACTTGGTTAAGGGTTGTAGCCTCAAAAGCATGGATATGTAAATTTTCATCCTATATTCGTATCGGATACGTATCTGATACGGATACTTTTCGATACGTTAAGGATACGTATCTCAACCGTATCTACAGTGGTCTTGTTAAAAAAAGAAAAAAAGAAAAAATACTTAACAGATTTGTTGCGATATGTATCCATTATTCAAAACTTAAGCATAAATAAGCAAGAAGAACATAGAAATTTGAGACGAAGATCCTCAGATGTAATTCCAAAACTTTTGTTTGCATTCCAAAGCTAGTGTTTAGACAGTAGATCGGATTCACCAAATAGCCAAACACCCTAGGTAAAGAAGTTCATCTCCGATTCTCCATTATTCTTCCTGTAAGGTTTTTGATACTCATTACCCAGTTACCCACCCAACCAAGACACCCATTTTTCTTGTTTTTGTTGAAACTTGAAAGAGCATGTGCAGTGAGAGGGGAAACCTGTGAAACCTATTTTTGGGGAAAGTTTTTGAGCATTGTGCACCAATTTCTCTCGAGTCTCGACTTTCGGGAAAGTTTTTGGCTTTTTGATTTTTGGTTGTTGCGTGTAATCAACACTCAATGTGTTTCACTTTTTTCCTTTTTGATTGACAGGTGTGTAGTGTGCACCGTGCTATTTTTGCCTTTTGTACATATACACATGGCTACATATGTTTTTTTTTATACATTTAATCTTATGATTTATTTAAAAAAATTTAATTTTGTGTAAAACTGTAAATTAATAATAATTAGAATTTTTTTTAATTCTCTTTTAGCATCTTTAAAATGTATAAAAAATTGTAATAAATTTTTAATTTCTAGTTTTTAGACTAACAAAATTTCAATCTCACATAAATTTTTTTT